TCTTTCTTCTCCTATTTTTTTTCATAAATCCTTAACCGTACCTCGTCCTTGCTTAGCCTAGAAAGGCGATCCATTGTGTACTCTTCGAATTCGGCCTCAAACTCTCGATCCATTTCCTTGTCTGTTTCACTGTCTCCACTTGACGAAGCTCCTTCGCTTGCAGCCATAAACTCGCTCGAAACGCTGATGGACCTCACACGTCGTCGTTCGCTTGCTTCATGCGCCAATTCAACCTGAAAAACGGGAAAGGTCAGTGACGTCAGGAAAAAATCATTAATTTATTTACAAACCTCTAGTCCTTGTCCTGCGCGTGCTTCCCTATCTTCCAGTAAGAACTGCGTAGTATTACTCGGAGCCATAGGTTTTCCACTAGCCATGCTGAAAAAGGCCCATCAATTGTGAATTATGAGAGTAAGCCTAACCTAAAAAGACATAGTCCAAAAATAGGACCATTCCCTCTGAGTAGAAAAAAAAACGAGCCTCCAACCTCTATCCACGCCCTTTCATTAGCAAACTTACCCGAATAGGAACTTTAGTACTGACTGTACTGCACAACTTTATAATGAAAAGAAATAGACGAGAGATCCCTAGCGCAAACTCAAAAAAAAGATGCTTAGACTATGCGCGCCTATGTATGGTATTATGTGCATTCAGCTGTTCAGTAGTAAAGATCTTTTGATGTCTCGCAAGTTGTTATGGACATCCGCGATGTTGAATGCTAATGACTCTACTGGCACAACGTAAGTATATGTATACAAGAACCGAAAACTAGAAGAGATAGAACAACATTTACAAAAGAGAACTGGATGGTCTGAAATACTGACCCTGCGAGTGGTACTGTAGCACACAAGTGTTGACTGGAAGTCCAGGAATCATCATCCAATCCATCTTAAACAGGATGAATCAGTGTCTGTGTGCTAATAGAACAGTAATTTTTGGGGAAATTCTTAGGATTTTAGAGAGAGGCTTCGCGCACGCGCACTTACTGGCAGCTACCATAATCCAATTGGACCCCGTAATATCCGACCTAATAGTAGAAGAGAAGGAATTGACAGATTATGGGCAGAATGATGAGAGGCAGAAAAGTAGCGAAGAGTTGTAGATATAATATTTAGGAAATATAAGTCTTATAGGTTGCAACCAACCGTTCACGTGTCCTACGCTCCGATCTGGCAGTTTCAGCAGCATCGAGCGCCATCTTCTCTTCCGGGCTCAGGGAATGATAGGGCTTGAAGCGATTCTTGTTGGCACGACGTCGACGGGTCTTCCGCCGCTTCTTCTCCAACTCGACATCGCCATCGGACACCGAACGTTCATGATCGTCCGGATGTACAACGACTGAAGGTAGCT